AGAGAGAGAGAGAGAGAGAGAGAGAGAGAGAGAGAGTTAATAAACAAGTGATTGAGTGGTTCCACAACTGATGGTCAAAATACCGGCACAATTGACGACCGCATCGAGTCGTCCGAACTGTTTCTCACACGCGTCCAGCGCTTTGAGCACATCGTCTTCGGAGGTAACGCTTCCCTCGACGGACACCACATTCTTGGCGTCAAACTTAGTCTCAATGTTGCGGTCGAAAGCGATCACACCTTTGGCACCCAAACGGATCAGTCGGTCGACAGTGGCTTTGCCTAAACCTAAACACATAGAGAGAAAGAGAATATTATCATCACGTGTGGTAATCATAGGCTGAGGAGTAGGTTATGGTGCGGTTACTACAGACCTGAAGAGCCGCCGGTGACCAAAGCGACCAAACCTTTCACACTGTTAAACGTTGCCATAGTTTTTGCACGAGTGATAGTTAGCTGAAGAGTTCTTGGGATTGATTTGGTGGTGATGTTTGTGGCAAAAAAAAAAATAATGATTAGACGATATCTAGCGATAAAACTTGTCTATCAATCGTCTCAATACATGTGGTGTTGCGTAAGCCCAAGGACTGTATCGATACAGTCGACCCACGGTTTGAGTTACGCGTTTTGTGTTACATATTTATGGGTTGTGTCCGTATAGTTGTTAATTAAAATTTGATTACTATTTAAAACAATTAGTTTTAATTATAATTGTGTAGTGTTTTCATCGGAACTAATGTTTAATTAATTAATTAACTATAAATTGTATTTATATTGTAGTTATACTGTATAAACAAGTTATTGGTGTCTAAACAACACTAGTATTTGTACAGAGCTTATCACTGACTGTGTATTGCAATAACATTACACTAGTGTTGTATTGACCGCACAATACATACCATTTGAAAAGCACATAAACATTACGTTTCATAACAAATGAAACTCCAGTTTAAAAAGTGTTTTGCAAATAATAACATGACTTTAAAAGTGATTCATAATTAATTAAAACTTTTAATTAGTTTATAAAAACTTAATTAAAACCTATAAATATCGTCCAAAATGTGATATCAATAGCGATAATAACAATAAAAGCAATTAATAATAGTTTTAGACAAAATGCTAATCAAATTCATCCATGTCTTCGCCCAACCGGTGAAATACGTGGCCATCTGTGCGGCCATTGTCTCCGTGTCTGCGATCGGGGATCAGCTGTTATCCATCGGACGGCGACCGACAGGCGTCGAGGCCTATGCCATAGCGTTGAGCGACACATTGATCCACGGCTTCATCGGTGTCTTCAGTTGGCTTCTGGTGTACGTCACGAAAGGACATCCCGTCTACGAGTACATCGTCCTCATGGAGGCCG